GTGACAATTAGATCACCCTGAAGCTTCTCTTCTCCAGGCTGAACAATCCCAATTCTCTCAGCAGATATGTTTATGTGGCAATGGATTTGCCACATGCAGAATGGAAGAAGTCCTGTCGGAGATGGACTAGTGAAGAAAATGAAAACAGTTCAAATGTTACAGAAACCGAAGTTTTTAAGGTGGTTTAAACAGGTTTTAAAATGGCTTTTACCTTTTTGCAGAGTCATTGCCTCTTCTTCCCAACACCCCCTGTGCTCCCACACAAGGTGTCCTGGGAAGGTGTCCTGAGGTGTTTCCCATTGGCCTTTGTTAACCCCTTTCTATTGGCTGTTGACCCTTCACCTGATGGTTTTTTCTATGTGACCCTGAACTTGTGATTGGTCCCCTTTTGACCCTCCTGAAAGCCTTATAAACCCCTGCCCCACAATAAACTTCCTCTTTCGTCCGTCCCTCCCTGGTGGTCTGTGTGCTCCTTGCGGGGTCGCAGGGCCACGTGCTGGGGCGGGGGGAAGGGCATTCACCTCGCAGGTAATGGGCTAGCAGCCTAAAGCCTGGAGGTCTCCCCTATTCCCACTAATTCGTCAGATGTTTGAGGAAGGGGAGCCCAAATTCCAGCAAGAGTTTGCAGGGAGACTCTTGGCTGCAGCTTTAAATGTTTACAACACTGAGAACTCTCGTATCCACAAAGGATTTGGTGACCTTAGAGAATCTCACCCCAAAACTGCTTCCCAAACCAGGGCCTTTTTGTCCAGATGTAGGCTGGATGTCCCAGCTTTCCCCTAGCAGTGGCACTTTCATCCCGGACTAACCCTGACTCCTTTACAGCCCTGGAGATCCCATAATGGATAAATCTCAGAGCAACTCAGCCTGATCTCACACCTGATCCAGTTTCGAGCAAGAAGTTGGACTAGAGACCTCCTGAGGTCCTTTCCAACCTGAATTATTTTGGGATTTTGTGCCCTGGGAAATGTCAGCTTTTTGTTTTTAATTCCAGCTCTTTCTCCTCATCTTCCCCAAATCTTAATCTTCCTGCCCAGCAGATGGTCCAGATCCTGAACAAAGATCTCAAAGTGCCCATATATATTCACTATCCACAGCCATGTCCTTCCAGTTCTGGTCTGGGAAGTGGATTTCCACTGGGGTGGGAAATACTCTTTCCCAGCATTGACCAACTTCCCTAGAACCAGTGGGGAGATGTGTTTCACTTCAGAAAATTTCCTAGGGACATGGAAAGCCCAGTCCTGGGGTATGGATGGCACAAAGTGCACCTTAAACTATCTCCTGTCTGCATCAGGAGATGCATTCACTCATTTGGGGTTTATTTACAGAAATCAGTTTACAAAAGGAGTTGATGCATTCCCGGGCTCCAGGAAGAGGGAGCACGTCAGCGCCTCAGGAATAAAAGTAGCATTTAAAAGAACCCCGGGACGAAGTGTTGCTGCAGGAGCTGTGTCTGTGGGGTGGGTCTCTGCGTGTCCCTGCACCCTGGAAACCTCCACGGGGGAAGTGTGCCTCTCCGAAGTGAGATTTGGGCATTGAGCAGCCCAGAAAGCTGGAAGGTTCTGACAGAGCACGTACAGACATCACCATCTAGTGGTGCCCGACTCCAACAGCCTCCACGCAGCCCAAAATTTGCACATTGAGCAGGGTTGGAGTTACTACCGCTCCCCGATGGCTCCTCCCAAGGAGCTGAGAGCAGCCACTGCCTCCACCCTTGTCCCACCTCGGGCTGCTCACACTCCTTTCCTCCGGCCAGCACAGCGACACTGCTTTGACTTTGGGGGGGGAAAAGCCACTCCAGACTCCCAGCAGCTGCTTCTCATGGTCGTGGGCTTGATCCTGCAAGCAGTCATGCCCAGTGGCATCAAGGGGCAGTGAACTGAGCTAAACTGGGGTTTTGTCTCATCCCACAGCTCCGTGGGAAAGGGAAGTCTGCCTGAATGGCACACATGGAATTGTAGGGGTTTCTCCAGTGGAAGCTCATCCTGCTCCTTCGTGTTGCAGCCAGGCTCTCCCCTCACCTTTCTCTCACCTCACCCTGCTGTCAAAATGCCCCTCCTGGGGTTAAACCCAGCTGAACCCCCCCAGCCCCAGCCCAGGTCCCACCTGGGTGCTGGACTCACACACTCATCTCAGCTGGGGACACCGAGAGCTGCCCCAAAGTGCCTGCACACCCTGTGTGGGCTGGGGGGCACCTGGTGGCCCAGGGTGTGTGTGGGGGGGTTTGGAGAGCCAAACAAACAGTTTTTCCAGAACTTTCTGTGGTCCCAAAATGCTGGTTGAAGGATGACCACAGGCTGTCCCCACAGCAGTGTGTGTGACATGGTGCCAGACTGGGTGCTGGGGGAACAGGCAGGACCCTGCTCCCAGGTTTAGCCCCTTCACCCCCTCCAGGTCCCAGCTGTCCTGGGATGGTCCTGCAGTGGTCCCAGCCCAGCTGCCCTGCTCTGGGGGCTTCTCCTGCACACTGGAGGGCTCACAGGGACCTATGGGGCAGGATGGGGGTTACTGGGGCTCACCCCACTCCCTCACAGTGAACTGAGGTGCTGCCAGTACCACAGTCTGCAGTGGGCTCTGGCCCACTGTGTGCCCCCCAGCTTGTTATCAACCCCCAGGAATACAGGAGTTATGATGCAGAAACCCCTGTGGGGGGCTAACAGCCAGTGGGAACCATCCTTCAACACACCTCAGCTCAAACCAGTTCCCCGAGTCACACTGGGGTGCCAGGGGCAGGAAGGCTGGGCACAAGCTGCTGCTGAGGACACTGACACCATGAGTAGTCTGAGGGGTTTTGTTTTAGTTATTTTTATTTTTGTGGTGCGATTTGCTGCCGCTCTGGTGCTGCCCATCCACCCCCCTCCCTGGGGCTCAGCCCCAGATCCCACCCTGCCCCTGCTCCCACACTGCTGGGACAGCCAGGGGACAGGGACACAGGGCCACCACCAGCTCAGCCAACACTCTGCTGGGGCCCTCGGGGCCAACCCCACACTGGGCCTGAGGTTGCTGTTGGTTTTTGGGGCAGCTGTGGGGAACTGAGCCACGGTGCTCTGGCAGGGCAGGGACCAGGCAGCAGCACTGCTACAGCCAAACTGGGACATCTCTTTGTTTTCCCCCACGGGTGACACACAGCCCCAGGCAGCAGGACACAGCCTGAGCCCTGCCTGCTCTGCTGGAACCCTGAGCTGTGCAGAAAACCAGGCAGGGTCCAGTTACACAGCTCAGAAAACACAGAGGGGAGAGAGGTGGCCAGGCCTGAGGGATAAGGGGCATCATGAGCCTCCCGAGGCTGCTGCCTGCACATCCATGTGGGCTGTGGCGTGGGGACAGTGAGGGGGGACACGGGGAGCTCAGCACCATCCCAGGGGCTGAGCCAGGCTGTGGCTGGGACCAGCACAGCTGGTGCTACATGGAGGTGCTGGGGGTGCAAACCGAGTGCACGTGGGAGGAGTGAGGGAGGGCACAGCTTCTCACCACCTTGGCTCACAGCAGTGCCAGAACACGGGGGTGCAAGGAGGAAAGGGGCTGCTGGGCTGCTCAGAAGCAGTGTCCTGAACCCACAAAGCAGTGATGGCTCCTGCCTGCTGGCAGCTGCCCTGTGCCCGAGGAGATGGCTCCTGTGCCCAGCAGGACTGAGTCCAGTGATCCGACGGGCAGGGCTTCACCAGCACGGGCCGTGGAGGAGAAAACAGCTCAGTGTGGTTTGAGTGGCCACTCCTGAAGTCCCCTTGGCCCGATGAGCACCAAAGAGTTCACAGACTGGCAGAGAAAGTCCCATTTCTCTGTGTCCAGTGTATGGAGGGGCCGCCAGCTCCGCGAGCGACCCGCGAGGTAAGGACCGAGGTTTGCCTGGAGAGCACGTCCCTGCAGTCACAGTGGGGTGATGGACAACACTTGGAGGGCCTGGAGGCAGTCAAGGGGTTGTTAAATTACACACAGACACGTTCACACAGGCTCACACACACAAGGGCTTCTGTAAACTGGACTCCTTAAGGTTCCATGGATCCTTGGCTGATCCCATGGCCAGTGCTGGGTGTGGCATCCTTAGTTGTTCCCCCGGTATGTGATGTTGGTGAAGGTGGATGTGGCCTCTTTATATAAAGGGTTGTGGGTCTGGAGGAAGAAGGAGGAGGAAAAAGAGCATCAACACTTTGTGCTTGGCATCACTATTCATTCTACTCAACACCTGGGGACACTGAGGCACCACTTCAGCATGGAGTGGTGGATCCCTGCCATGGCTTTGGCTGTGCAGTTTAATGGCTCCCCATGGGGGAGAGCAGGGAAAAGCTGCTGTGGAGGAGAGGAAAAGCAGCAGGAGTTCAGAAGCAGAGAGACCACCTGAAAGAGCCACCCCATCCCATCCCATCCCATCCCATCCCATCCCATCCCATCCCATCCCATCCCTTCCCTCTGTGGGGGGCAGGAGATGGAGAGGTGGGAGACGGGCACCAGTGCTGTCTCAGCCCCCTCCCTGGTGCTCTGGATGCCTCAGTCCTTCCAGCATCCCATGGCAGGAGGGACCTTCCACTTTGCTCACGGGATGGAAACACTGGTGTGGGCAGTGAGTAAGGGGGTCACGCTGCTGACAACTGCTTGGGATATGCTGGAGGTGGGAAAATCATCTGGGACATCTGCTGTGGCCTGTGCACAGCCCTGGGAGCACAGTGGGCTCAGGGAGGGGTGTCCAGGCTGGCAGTGTCACCCTGAGTCCTGCCTGGGGCACTGTCAGACAGGGATGGGGCAATCTGGTCCCTATGGGCCACAGACAGCAGCTGGGCTCTCCTGCTGGGAGCACTGGGATCTGGATCCCTTAAGCTGGGGGCTGTGGGATCTGGGGGCTCCTGCCCAGCACCCCCGACCCACTGGCCCTCACCGTGTCCCACTTGGCCCTGGCCTTCTCCTCCTCGAAGCGGGCGAACTCCCGGCGGTCGTGGATGGTGATGAGGAGCTTCCAGATGAGCAGGGCAGCCAGGCCGATGAGCAGGATGGCCCCTGTCACCGAGAGCAGGACCACCAGGACGTCGGGCCCCTTTGGGCAGTCTGCAGCACAGAGCAGGGCAGGGTTGGAGGGGGCTCAGCACTCCCAGGGCAACTAAAAGCAGCTCGGGGGCTGCCTGGCCATGGGTACATGGAGCTCCTCTGGGCCCAGGAAGGCTTCGTCCTCCCCTGGCAGGGAGCAGGAGCCTCCACCCTGGGCACAGCAGGCTCTGTGAAGGAGGATCCCATCCATGGGGTGCATGTGCTGAGATCCTCAAGCTCCTGTCTGTAGGGTGGGGGTCTGCACCCAAGCGTGGAGCAATCCAGATCAGGGGCACCACAGGTCCCACCCATGGTGGGGGATGGCACTTGAGCCCAAATCCTTGTGCTGGTGGAAGCTCTTCCCCAAACCACCATCCTGCTGACCCCCTACCCCGCTCTTGGCTCTGCACCAACACCACATTGGAAACGGGGGTGGTGAGATCCTGTGTGAGCCCCCACAGCCCCCTGCTGCCCCCAGTCCTCCCCTGCCTCTCTCCTCTCCACTCTGGGTGCAGGGCCAGGGAGGGTGGCTGGGGCTGCCTTCATGGCCCTGCTCCCGAAGGACCTGCAGCCACACAGCCCCTGGCTCAGCTGGAAGTCAGACCTCCAGGTCAGTGGAGACCCCGGGGCTGCCAATGGGAGCCCCCTCTTATCTGCCTCCTAAGAACAACATCCCTGCAGTCAGACACGGATCAGGGGGGTGGGAAGGTTGAACCCCCATCCTTGGCCTCAACCGAGGAAATGTGAGACATGAGAGGCAGGAAATCCCAGCCCCGGTGGCACAGAGCAGGGAACAAAGCAGCCCTTTAACTCCTCTCAGCCCCTGACTGCGGTGCCCCAGGAGCCTGGCTGGGGTGGGAGGTACAAAGGGCACTCAAAATCCCCCAGTTTAGCACAGAAACCCAGCACTGCGCCTTCTCCATCCCCCACCTGAGCTGGGTCTTACCAGGCTCCTCGATGACGGAGAGGATGGACTTGCCACTGGAGTCCTCGTAGTACTGGAACCTCATCACACAGTCGTTCTCGTCCTTGTAGGTGCAGTTCACGGCGTCCTTGCCCCTGTCACCTGCCAGAGTGAGAGGCTCAGCCCCCCCCCCATGCCACAGATGTGCACACAGAGGGAAAGCAACCCCCTGGATTTCCACATTTTAGGGCAGGTTTGGGTCTCCTCTTACTCAGTTCCTGCACTGTCTCGATCTCGTCCCGGCACATGCGGCTGCAGGTCTGCTCCTCCACCAGCCTCCCCCGCTCGAACTTCTTGCACTCCACACAATCCCTGAGGAAGAGGAGAGAGGTGCTGTGAGCTCCTCTGTGCTCTTCTCAGAGGACCATCACACCTTTCAGTCGCGGGTTGTGGAAATCACCACAATCCCAACCTAACAGGGCTGCAGCTGGTGGGAGCTCCTGCTGCCACTGCTGCCAGCTCCCCGATGGAGTATGACCCATCCCAGCTCTCTGCCAGCCCCCCGATGGGGTATGACCCACCCCAGCTCTCTGCCAGCTCCCCGATGGGATATGGCCCATCCCAGCTCTCTGCCAGCCCCCTGATGGGATATGACCCATCCCAGCTCTCTGCTGGCTGCCCTATGGAATATGACCCATCCCAGCTCTCTGCCAGCTCCCCGATGGGGTATGACCCATCCCAGCTCTCTTCCAGCTCCCCAATGGGATATAACCCACCCTAGCCCTCTGCTGGCTCCCTGGTGAGATACAACCCTTCCCAGCACTCTGCCACATTCCCAATGGGATATGACCCCCCCCAGCTCTCTGCCAGCCCCCTGATGGGATATTATCCATTCCAGCTCTCTTCCAGCTCCCCAGTGGAACATGATCCATTCCAGCTCTCCTCCAGCTCCCCAGTGGGATATAACCCGCCCCATCTCTCTGCCGGCCCCCGCTGTGGCACGAGCTGCCCCAGCCCCGTGCCCTGGCTCACTTTTTGATGGTGCAGGCGTCGGGGCAGGTGGGGCACCTCTCGCAGGTGTCCCCGTAGGAGCCGGGCTGGGTGCACTCGCAGCGGCCGCAGACGCAGGAGCCGTGCCCGGAGCACACCAGCCCGTTGCCGGACATGCACGTGTCCGTGCGCGTCGTGCAGTTGCAGTAGTCGCCCGTCCAGTCCGGGTCGCACACGCAGTCCCCACAGCTGCACTTCCCGTGCCCTGGGGACGACCCAAAGAGCATCAGGACCCTCAGTGGCAGAGCAGCCACCCGGGACAATCCCATTGCACTGTGCTTGGGGTGGGACACGCAGCAGCTCACACCAAACCCCAGCCTTTGCTGTGTCCCCAGTGCTGCTCTTATCCCACCCGAACAAGAACAACGGTGGGAATGAAGATTCCCCCCCCCGAGGGGAAGCTGCAAGAGGAGCAGCTGAGGGCACTTGGTCTGTTCAGCCTGGAGGAGACTGAGGGGAGAGACCTCATTGCAGTTCCAACTTCCTTGGGAGGGGAAGCGGAGAGGCAGGCACTGAACTCTGCTCTGGGGGGACCAGGGACAGCACCCAGGGAATGGCCTGAAGTTGTGTCAGGGGAGGTTGGATTTTAGAAAAAGGTTCTCCCCCCAGAGGGTGGTTGGGCACTGACCAGGCTCCCCAGGACCAGTGGGCACAGCACCGAGGCTGACAGAGCTCAAGGAGCGTTTGGATGATCCTCTGGGGCACAGGGTGTGACTCTCGGGGATGGTCCTATGCAGGGCCAGGAGTTGGACTGGATGATCCTTGTAGGTCCCTTCCAACTCAGCATATTCTGTGATTCTGTGATTCCAGGCTGAACTGCCCCAGCTCTGCCAGGTTGGCAGCAGCAGCTGGAGATGCTCAGTCAGATCCGTCTCTGAGCGAGTCCAGCCTTGGCTGTGGCTTTGAATTTCAGATTGAGTCGGGACATCTGGTCAAACCCCCCAAATCCCACTCGTTTCCCAGCCCTGGACCAGGCAGGGGAAGCTGACTGCTGGGAAAAGCCTGCCAAGCTCTGCACTCTCACCGAGCTTGGTTTAATCACACAGACAGACAGACAGACAGACGTGCTCAGATCCTGCCAAACCCCGGAGCTGTTTGGATTTGTGGTTTGATTCCAGCTCAAAGACCAGACACGGTGAGCGCTGGAAACACCACGGAGCCGGCACGCGCCGACCCGTCCAAGCCCTGGGCAGAGTGGGGAACGTTGGGAACGCTGCTCCCAGCAGGGGATCGGCTGGGCACCATCCCAAAACCCTGCTCTTGGCCCGGCACTGTCCGGGAATGCTGCTCCCAGCAGGGGACCGGCCGGGCACCGTCCCTGCCACAGCCTTGGAGGCACCGGCATGAGAAATAAATGTGTAACCCCCGTTAATGAGGAACCAGGGCTGAGTCACAGGAAAACGGTGCCACGCTGGGTGACAGGGCATGGAAAGAGATGGGGAGAAGTGGCTCAATGGGACCAGACTGATGCCAATGGGGTCAGACAGTTCAGGTTAATTAACAGCCCGCCCTGGCTGGGGGCAGCTCTTCATCATCGCCCTTCACCCATCCCGACCCGGCAGCCTTGGCAGCCCTTGTGCAAACAGGAACAGGCTCCCTGCGGGCACTGACTGCTCTGGGTGGGGAAAACCCAGCGTTTCCACCTCCATTATCAGCAGGCTGTGAAGATAAAGGATCAATCCCAGCAGCACAGAGGCTGCTTTGAGCCATGAATTTGGCCTGAGGGGCAGGTGGGGTCCCAAAAACTCAGTTTGGGGACACTGGGGAGCAGGAACCAGAGACAGTGATTATTCTGAGTTGGAAGGGACTCACGAGGATCATCGAGTCCAACTCTTACATAAATGGCCAGTGTGGGGATTGAACCCACAAC